GTTTAAATGCTGCTGGAACACAACCTGAAGAAAGAGAGGTGTTAAGAAAATTTAAAATCCATGGACCTACAGAATTAAAAACCTCCTTCAGCAGCCTAGGTGGAACACTGTCACCAGGACAATGTGAAGGCCTCAGCTTCAAGGCTATTTCAGAAACCGATGGCTGGTTAATCAATTGGTTGATCAGTTGGTTGGTTTGCAGGTTGATTAGTTGGTCATGGTTAGTTAATAGATTAGGGTGGATTTGTTAGTTAGTTTGTTAGTTAGTTCATGGACTGGTTCGTTGGGTTAGTTGATTGGTTGGTTGGTTAGTTTGTTAGTTGGTTGGGTTAGTAGACTGATTGTTTCGGTTAGTAGACTGGTTTGTTGGTTGGTTTGTGGTTAGTTGATTGGGTTGGTAGACTGATTTGTTGGGTTAATACACAGGTTGTTGGTTGTTAGTAGACTGTTTGGTTGGTTGGTTAGTAGACTGATTGGTTGGCTGAGTCAGTAGACTGATTGGTTGGGTTAATAGACTCGTTGGTTGGTTGGTTGGTCAGTTGGTTGGGTTAGTAGACTGATTGGTTGGGTTAATAGACTGGTTGGTTGGTTTGTGGTTAGTTGGTTGGGTTTGGTTGGTTGGTTAGTAGACTGGTTTGTTGGTTGGTTAGTAGACTGATTGGTTGGTTGGTTGGTTGGTTGGTTGGTTGGTTGGTTGGTTGGTTGGTTGGTAGATTTGTATTTCTTCAGCTGGAGCATCTGAAGAAATCTGTGCCAGTGGTGCGAGGGTATCCTTCCAGCACCTTCAGAGCCACAGGGTCAAACTTCCAGTAGGACAGTCCACTCAGGAAGTTAGCATAACCTGTCCAGAATGTGAACAAATGACAAAAAGAAGTTTAAATCTGATAACAGAAAACTAAACATAAAACTGGTTCAGGTCCTCACCGGATCGGTCCAGAAAGGCTGCATCGATGGAGCTCGGCAGTCCGGCCAGCTCATGAACGCTGTGAGGATGTGAATCACTGACCTGGTTCTCCTGAACCATGAAGGTCCAGTAGAAGGGAGATTTAAAGAGGAAAGCTTTCTCAACATGGTCATCGTCCCACCTCAGAGCTGCATGGATGTCTGTCACAGGAAGACCAAGACTCTGGACCGGATCTGGTCCCGAAATCTTCCTCTCAGCATCAAACACCCAGTAACTGTCAGCTGCCACAAACAGGAAACAGGAACAGTTTGGTTTGGTTTAAGTTAGCTTGGATTGGTGAGTGGCTGGGGTTTAGTCTAGTCTGGTCTGGTACCTTGGAAGAACCAGATGTTGCCGGACTTGTCCTCGTATGCAGCATCGATGTAGTCGGGGAAACCCCTCCAGTGGCGTGAAGACAAGGCGGGGTACCCGGCCTGAAGGCGTCCCTCACGGACCCTCCACACGTACTGGTCCTTAAAGAAGAAGAGTTCTCCTCGGATCAGAGACACGGCATCAAAGCTTGTCCTGCAGGCGTCCGGCTGACAAACACACAGACACCTTTTATTTGGAATCAGTTTCAGAACTGAACTTCCAGTGGTCCAGACTTCCTGTCAGCTGGTGGTTCTGATCCGTTCTCCAGACTCCAGCTGCAGGAGAACCTCCACCCAACACCAGCTTACAGATCGTCTGCTTCTAAACAGGGACAGGACGGAGACGTGTCCACACCAGTTGTGGACATGTTGGTACCACGGTCTCACCAGTTCTGGATGGATGTCATTGGTCTGGGTCCCGTCAGGGGGTGTGTGGAGGGGGGGTCCGTACAGGTACTGGATGCCCCTCTTATCGTCCTCGCTCAGCTGCAGGGGGTAGGTGTCGCTGTAGAAGGGACACATCACGGCGCCGGGCTCCAGGGAGTGCTGCAGACCCAGAACGTGTCCGAACTCATGAGCCGCCACCTGCAGGAGGTCCGTACCTGCAGGACAGAACTGCTCAGAACCAGAACCTCTGCTCTGAAACTCCTGTTCGACCCAACTCACCCACGCTGTTCCCCCCAGCCGTCCAGCTCTCATCGTAGTCAAAGTGGACCTCCCCCTCCTTCTGGGACCGAGGGAAGTAAGCGTGAGCCAGAACCCCTCCTGGACCATCGAACGGCAGGTCGTCCCCGTGCCAGAACCTACAACAGAACCAGATCTGAGGCCCGGTACAACCAGCAGGAGGTCTGATGGGTCAGGATCCAACAGGACCCACAGAGTTCTACTGCAGGAGGTTCTGATGGACCTGTCTGATCTTCATCCAGGTGAGGAGGAGGAGGAGCCTTTACCTGTTGAAGTCGATGATGATGTCAGCGTCTTCGTTAAGAACCTCCCTGAACCTCAGAGGAGTCACGTGGCTCCAAACCCCGAAGGCCTCGCTGAAGACGCTCCGGACTTTGTCCTCACTCACGTGCCGGGGGAACCGAGTGATCCTGGAGGACAGAGATATAAGACATGTTGTGGTCCAGGAGGACAGAGACATGTTTGTGGTCCTGGAGGACAGACATGTTGTGGTCCTGGAGGACAGAGACATGTTTGTTGTCCTGGAGGACAGACATGTTGTGGTCCTGTAGGACAAAGACATGTTTGTTGTCCTGTAGGACAGAGACATGTTTGTT